AAGTGCCCAAAGTTCTAACTCGTTTTCCACGAGTTCTTTTAAATTCAACCTGAGAGATTCACAAAGCAGAGATTTGTCTTACGTTTACTGCTTAATTATCAATTCATCAGCGCCAGTTCAGCAGATAGAAGATTTTGTTCGTTACTTGCGTTTTGCTGACGAACTTCCTGGTTGGCTGCTTGAGTGAATCCCAGGGCTGCGGAGTGGCTGCTGACGCGGCGTCTGGATGACGTAGTTTCTGGGGATGCCTTCCTGATGAATGGGGTTTCCTGGTGACGCAGAGGCTCTGGTAGTTCTTCTGAAAGAGTCTGAGTTTGCAAGACTCTAGGCTTTTGAAGATCTCTGGCAGTCACGAAGTTTCAACTGAAGTGTTTGAGTTCTGGAGTCTCGCTTGCGTGATGTTACAGTATGTGAGCGCTTTGTAGCGCGGTCACCAAGGCGAAAAGCCACAGGTCTAGAGAGAGAGAGAGAGCAAGCGAGCAAGCCACGAGGGCTTTGTGTCCATTTTTAAGCAGGCTGATTTTGGTCCGCCCCACGACGCGATCTTCCAATCGACTTGTTGCAAGGCTTAGCCACACCCTGTGTGGTTACCTTCTCGTGCATAAATTAACATGCTGTTCAAGACATCACGTGGGGGAAATGTCTCTGCACAAGCTTTCATTCAAGCTCAAACAACAGGTATTTTGCATACACAGTAATCGTAATAACTAAAAAGAATAGTTATAAGGCAGAGATTAAGATATCATGGTTTCAATAAACACATCAAACAGAAAGCATATTATTTGGGAGTATATTGCTCTGATACTTTAAATGATTTTAAATTATTGTCTTTTACAATCGTCATGCAAGGTTCTGTTTCTTTTGTTGTAAGAAAAGAACGCGGGTCCGTTGGGTTTTAGAAAGGGGCAGGAAGCAGATGTTCAGTGGGTCATGTGATGGTCACGTATATATCCCGTGTTTGCAGGCCTGAGGGCATCAGTTAATTTACTCATCCTTTTCCTGCTAGATATACTAGTTCCATTAATTGGTGATCACAAGACATCACGAGGTATCTATAGGTTATAGTCCTGATAC